ACTCTGGTACCAACCTCTAGAAAATAGTTTGCTTATTAATTAAGATATCTGGGTTAAACCAAATGCATTGCTTTGAGTAAGGGATTGTACATGTAATTGTTTTTGACCAACTCAGAAAAGCATGGTACCAAAAAGAGTTTGGCTTTAACCTTTTTTCAGCAAAGTCGGCGGCTTGTTTCTGACTGAAAACTTTAAAACATGAGCAATCCATATAAGTATAAGCTTGAAATAGCCGTTTCCAGCCACTTTTCGTTTTTGCTTTTTTAATGGTGTATGCACTTACATAAATTACAGAGGTTTTTATGTGGTAAAAATATGTAACATTTTAATGATTAAGTATAAAATAAATGCATTTTTTGGTTTTATTGAGACGCACTTCTAATAAAGCAAAAATAGTATTTAAGATAACAGCATGAGAACTAAGAGAACCAACTACAATGTAAAATACTTTGTGATGGTTATTATTAATTTTTATAGTTTTATGGAAGAGATTCAAACTGTTGATGCAAAATAATATTATAATAAATATGTAATATTTTAATGATTAAGTATACATCAAATGCCTTTTTTGGTTACTTTTATTGAGATGCACTTTTGATAAAGCAAACATACTGTATTTAAAATAACAGCATAAAGACTAAGAGAGAACCAAAACTACAATGTAAAATATTTTGATAGTTAATATTCATTTTTTATAGTTTTATGTAAGTGATTCAAATGGTTGATGCAAAATAATATAAGATGTATAATATATTTATTTTCTTTACAAGTTTGAAAAAACTAAAATGGCCGCCAGTCAGTCTTGAGCATGACACAAATACACATGAAAAGATAGATGCACAGATACGAATCTATCGATATTTCACGATTTTTATGAACAAAATGTGAAACAAGCTACTCAATTAGACAATAGGCACAGGTGGACAATCAATGATAAGATTACTGTGGGTGTACATCCCTAGTCAGCTAATTGCCTGGAATTGCAACATTGCTAGTCACTTTGCTGAATGGTTTTAGTGCATGTGATTGCAAAACACAGGTGTTATGTCTGTGTTTTGAAATGACTCTTTCCAAATAAAAATATACATTACCTTTCTGCTGAGAGTAAACTTTTATCACTGAACCAACCAAATAAAGGATCATTTATGGAATTCCAAACTAGAAAAATAGTCTGAAAAAAGAACAAAATTTTCTATTACCATCACAATGAAGAGAAAATACATGAACAAACATGAACAAAATAGTGTTTATTTAGCTGGGATTTTAAATAAACTAAACTCACAGTGATCAATATTATAAACATAGGGTATTTATGTAAGAACATACGTAAATATCGTATACCATATTTCATTATTTTGATTCAGAGAGGAAACTAAATTTGTATATTTATTCAGCCTTTTTCACCTACCGGATACTGGTAAAAATTTTGCAAATATTTTTCACACATTGACTAAAAAAGTCCAAGAAATTTGCTCAAATTAAAAAACAATCAAAAAAACATTCAAACTAAAAACTGTTGTGAACTAAATTCATATTTATCAGTCTTTTTAAAAGCTAATTTGTTATTCCCATAAGAGTAAATATTTGTTAAACGAGGAAGTCCACACTAACAGCAAAGGAATGCAATTTACAGCTTTTCAATATCACTTTTCTTTCTAGACATACATGTATTCCACTTATGGGCTCATACCACTAATTAAAACTCCATAGACGACAATGTTAGCGTTTGGGTGAATTTCTCCTCAAAAACGATTACAAAGATCTAAATATTGATTTAATTTGTTGAAACCAAATGTATGTTATAGAATTCTGGCCAGTAATACACACGTAGGCCAGCTAAAACTCCTACAAAATTGATGTATACAAAATATACAGATTTTTCAGGCTTTCAAATACTGGTACCTTCAATATTCTCAAAAAGCAGCCATTAAACTTGTCAATAAACTGAGCTACACACACAAGTGACAGTCTAACAGCTGATGTAATTGAAGTACACCCTCAAACATCGCATTTCAGATAAAATGTATTGAAGGAAAAGCCATTGGCTAACAATAACCATAAGATTTGAGGGTTACGAACGCTGATAGGCAATTATGGTGGCATGATCAAGACCATATTAGTATACGTTGTCCACCATTTTGAATTTCCAGCAAGGAGTATATGGGTAAAATATTACAACATCTGTTGCAAACAAATGAAGAAAATGATTTCATCCATTTGAGAAATAGTGATGCGAATTAGTTCAAATTCTCAATGTGAATAAGACTTTTGTAGATAATTTATGGAAATTATAATATTGCAAAGACACAACAAGTAAAGATATTGCCAAAATAGAAAAATAAATAACATGCTAGTATTTTGGTTGTTGAAAATGGAGTGACTATTTTTGTCCCTTTTTTGTAGTTAACACATCACCTGTATGAGATACTCTCATGGATGAATCTACAAAATACATAACGAATTGGGCATTTGGTTGAAAAATGTAAACAAGCAGCTTGTCGGCTGAGATAGCTCCGCTGTTAGCATAATACATTGCACATTTCAATTAAGGAACTGAAGATATCATTAGAAAATGAACTATATGTATAGTATCAAAGCAATCAGCTTGCTGTTTTCAACAAGAATTCAAAAGTATAACTTTTTACCCAGAATATTCACCAAAATTAGAGAATTAAAGATATCATCATGAAATGAACAAATCTGAGAGAGATCCACATGTAGTACCTAGATATGTAATATCAAAGCAATCAGATTTGTAGTTTTTAACAAGAAGTTGAAAATATCACTTTTTACCAAAAATAACAAAAATATTCATCAAAATTAGAGAATTAAAGATATCATCATGAAATGAACAAATCTGAGAAAGAACCATCCAAGGAATTTGCATATCAAATTAGAAAACATTTTGAATAGCGGTTTTGAAGAAGAAATTGAAATTTGTTAAGTTGACGACGACAGACAATCAGTAATATGAACAGCTCCACTGTGTCGACTTTCTCGACAGCGGAGCTAAAAATACATATGTATGGTAGGCACTGATATTCTACAATGATTTAAACTTTCAACTAATTTGAAGTTTACTTTAGAGGTTATAGATTTCCTCATTTTTTCACAACAGATGCTATGTCATACTTTACCCATAATCCTTTTCTGGATAATCAAGTAGTTTTAAAACTACCGGGTACATACATTGTATACTGATGAAAACTGAATATCTAGGGAATGAAAATTGATATTAAAAAAAACTTGCATTTCCCTACATTTGTGGAGCTCTTTCATCTGGGAGCATTACGTTTTCAGTCAAGACTATTGGAAACCATTTAATATCTTTAATGTTAAATATTACAAGGTTAATATGAGAATAACACAAAGTATACACAAAGGCAGTACCGGACCTGTACTTGAGGTTTATGCTTTACCATATTGCCTGAATGCATACTTTGCAGTATTCTCATGATAAACTCATTACTACAGATAATCTTTTCCCAGCTTGTAGCAATAATTTAATGTGAGATAACAGCCCGAAATGGTGACGGAGAACGTTTTTCACTGTGCGAACATTTGCGATCGATGACAGAATTCTATTTCATCACACACTAATAGCACTTCTGTGTCTGAAGTAAACAAAATGTTCAAATGTTACCACTCTCTAAATATTAAAGACTGTCTAGCACGTGTATTTGTGACGTCACCTTAACAAATACTTTCAGAAAATATTATTGCATGGAGTAGCGACCAAGAAAAATGATCAACTGTAACTGATGATCAGCTGCAAGTATACTTCCACCTTGACAGAACTCTATAATAACCACTGCTGAAATTTCCTTGTTAATACAAGGTTATGTGACGAAAGTTTATAGTCAGCAAGTTCTAATCAAGAATCCAATCCATATTTTATTTTGAACACAAAAATATATTTTCTGATGGAAGCCTGATTACAGCGAAAGCTGTTTTTGTTGATCTGCTAATGAGATCAAGGGGTCACACAAAAACCAATAAGATTGTGAATTTGAATAATTATTGGACCCTGCATCCTAATTTGCATAGTTATTGGATGTGGTGGGCATTAATGTCAAAGTGTGGGCTCTTGTCTGTTTCGCGGTAAAATCTTGCTAACATTTACAAGGACTCTATCATATCTAGTGAGCAAAATTTTGCTCTGCGATTTTTTTTCAACGAATACCTACCCCTGGCGCAAATGTAGGATGTTCAATTAGTGGGGGAGTTTCACTTTTCCGCCATCGACGTCATTATCGAAATGCATTATGGGATATGTGTTTGAGTAATGACGGATTTAAATCTAAATCCGCTACTGTACCCCCGACTATCTAAATCCGCTACTGTACCCCGCTGACTATGATCGAATAACTGTTAAGACTGTGACTGTAAAACATACCAGTGAGGGCTCACAACTTACCTCTCCAATCCAAAATGACAGTTTATCTATTTTATAAATAGATACAAACATTTGTACATAGTAGAGGAGGAACACGTTATGGGTAATTGTTAAAAACAGGGACATTGCTCCATAGTGTACATACAGTGACTCCCTTGCTGCCATGGTTATTTCTGGAGACGGCAGGAAATAACACAGAGTTCAGGTTACGTTTAGTGTACTGTACATTTCCCAATATAAAAACCATATGGAAAGTTCCCACCGGATCCAAACAGCAACCTTGACTCAATCCGTTAACACTTCGCCCACAAGTCTTTGTGCGAGGTAATCCAAAACTCACAGTTCAAGATTGTTATCCATTGTAACGGAAACAGCGGAAGGAAAAGCGTGAGGCCCGACAGCACCTGAAAGAAGGAAGCGAATTTCGGTGGGCGATGATCGTGTGATTCCCTAAAACAGCGCCACCAACATGATTTAGTCGGTGTCGCGCCTGGAAAGTTGTACACTATTCAAGGTTTAACTTTAATATTAATTGACAATTAGGCTTAAATGCAATATTCCTGCATATCTGAAATGTGTTTACGTTGATTTTAACCAGGGATGGTATTATCCGCATGAAACTTCCTTTATTTATGAACACTTGAGGAAAGAGGGTTGCCCCACAAACTAGTAAACTGACGTGACGTCACCGGACGTCGTTCTACATTCTAGATTTTCAATTAAAGAGGCGGATGTGTCAAGGTTTCGAGAATGGAGAGTTGTTTTCAGCTATTCCTTTTATTTTTGTCCACAGTTTTAGTATCTGGAGGTATCTATGGTGAGTATACATTTGTCTATATATAGTCTAGCCGAGAAAAATCTAGTGAAAGTGTTTACGTCGGAATCCAAGGCGGAGGAACCCACTGAACTGCGTCTTCGGTATCCAGTCTCTGACATGGTCTGTAGTTTTGTTCGTCAGTTCGATTATCATATTACTGCCGGATATTACAGTGCCGTAAATTGCGACGTTTTTCTTTGTTTTTCAATTATTCACCCTAGTAATCGAATACAACTGGAAAAGTAGAGACAAAAAACGAAAAATGACAGATAATCCAGCTAGATTACCTCAGGTTTACAATTAAAAATCAGAATTCGCGACATCTTTTCGGCAGCGTGTATATGTCGTAACGTCTAACGATACACTACTTATGTTTACCAGTCGAATCGAATTGTTAACGCTTAGTAGTAAATTCACCTGACATCATTACTTCCCATTGTGTTTGAAGGAATGAGAAAAGATCGCGACAGTAATCCCATCCCTTCGTACATGTAATGTGATCTATTCTCGTTATGTAATTCCGTATTGTATTCTTCGAATGCTCGTATTCATTCAGCGCCGCAAGTTCCGTCCAAAGTTCATCAAAAACGTCAACCAACATGCCAACTCGAATTCTTCACTGCAACGTTTGCACATTTTGCAATTAATTAATAGTGTTTTATGTTAGAGATTTAAAACTCATTAGTTACCGTACTCACGTACAAAGGATGGATCATGGATGAATAGAGTAAACTGGATTCAAGGTCATTACCGTTTAAGCCAGCTGTACGACTAGCCAAATGGAAAACAAAAGTAAATAAAAACAAAAGTTTACAATAATAATATTACAAAATATTTATTGACACTCAATTTATGCCATACTGAGTTCAGATTAAAATACACTCATTTTAGGTTACCCAATAATAATGTAAATATTTATATTTATATTTATATGGATTCAAATGAGAGGTTGTGATTCACTGTTGGGATGCTTTTTGTACCGCTATCTGCACAAAACTGTTAAATGATTATGTATCCTCATTTATTCAGCAATGTCAACTTCACTGTTGGACAGTTTTCAACAATTTCAATATTCAGTTCATTAACAATTTATAAATTGAAAGTGGACAACATCGACAAAGGGTGTTGTATGTGCATGGGTAGCCTGACATGTAGGTGTGAATGGCGCCCTCACCTGGCCGAATGGCTTCAGACCCCACTAACGTCAGACGAAATATTGTATATCTCGTCGGCAGGATTAATACTGCAAATTCGTAAATTTCACGCCTTCCTGTTATGAGTTTCAATGAATATTCATTTTGGTGGTCATAGTAACATCGTGCAGAGGGCGCAACAGACACTGGCAGTGTCTTTCCCGTGCAGACGCTCACTTGTAACCAAGGAGACAAAGCTGTGTTTGCATTGGGGGCAAAAATCACAGACTGTTTTCAACAAGATGATAAACATTGGGTGGAAATTTGCAAGCACCTTATCACACAATATGTCAACAAATAAACTCTGCTGTGAATGGTTACTCTTTGATGGCTGTCACTATCTGACATTCCTTCGATTTGATTGGTACTGACAAAAAATCGTTGATCGTTGTGTTTGAAAAAAATACATTGTGTGTTGGGTTAAATTTAAATAGAGCGCTACAGTCAACTTTATTTAAGTTATCAAGTTATTCCCAAAGTGATCTGAGGTTTATCTTATATTTTAGTAGACTCTGATATGTGTTTAGGTTGTTATACTCATGGCTACTACTGGTAACAGTGTTGTAGTGAACTGTATACGTTATTGAACATACAATACTGTAGAATACTTTATTTTCGCTTGGAATTTATTTTCGCTATTTTCGCTGAAGGGATGATTCCGTGAAAATAAAATCCAGCGAATATACTTTTTTTTCTATATTTCACATTAAACTCATCAAAAATCAGTGAAAATAAATTCCATACAAAACGCCCAAAAAGCCCTTTCAGCGAAAATTAATTCCAGCGAAAATAAAGTATTCCACAGTATGCTGCTTGGTTCCAACACTGAGCTAAAAACAGATTTCAACAAGTTTATATGTATGTAATATTATTACATTTTACCTTGCCCAGAATTGTTAAAGCGAGGGAGTCATCACCTGCGCTGCGCATGAGCGTGTGTTGTTATCATTGCTTGGGACTTGATTCCCGCGCGTGCGCAGGTGATGACTCTTCTGCTTTAATTGTTTTTGTACACAAAAGACAGAAATATGTTGACAAATGCATACATTGCATACATGCAACTATGACCAACCCAAACTTGTTGTTTGTTGAATAAACAAGATTAAAAATAAGTTCGCTTCCACATACTGTAGAATACTTTATTTTCGCTTGGAATTTATTTTCGCTATTTTCGCTGAAAGGATGATTCCGTGAAAATAAAATCCAGCAAATATAATTTTTTTATCTATATTTCACATTCAACTCGTCAAAAATCAGTGAAAATAAATTCCATAAAGAACACCCTAAATGCCTTTTCAGCGAAAATTAATTCCAGCTAAAATAAAGTATTTCACAGTAGTCAAAATGTCGTTATTTAGGTTGACCTAAAGCATCCTCTTTTCTTTGAAATGCAGATTTGTTACCTCAGTAGTGTCGAATGTGACGAACCTCAATGTGTTTTTCTTTATTCGGCCACTATGATTGTAGTCAACTTTCTTTTCTCTTGTGCTGCCATTTTCTCTGTTTCAATATCTTCTCCTAACCAGGCTAGGATCTTTTCGATTTTTTGGTGTTGAATTTGGTCGATATAAAATTCAATGTTTTTATTTCACAAGCAGTCAAATCGACTATCGTTGTGATTGTGAAAAGATTCTGAGTCTGCACCATACATCTTCCTTTCATTGATCCATGCTTTATCCATGAAGCTGTCATATTTTATGAATAAACATTCTAAGACTGTTGCAAGAAATAAGTAATTTGGGTCCAGGGATATGTTTTAAAAACATATCACAGTGAAAGTAATGCTGGAAAAGACACAGTGGAGTTTGGTAGTTTTTATACTCAGCAGTGTTTATACTGTATGTCAAACTACAAAATGCTTTACGAATATACAATTGCTAATTTCATGTGACGTTACGGTGTCTAGGCACCTGCAGACATATTTAATCCTTCATGTTTGGAGAGGGATCACAACAGTTAGGTTCAAGACCCACATCGGGACCCACTCGACTTGTGCCGAAATCACATCCTCATTGGACGATCTGCTATTTAAAAACAATTTGCATATGATGATATTAATAATTGCTATGTTGAAATTATATCCATTTGTTGTCATGGTATTTATTATAAGTCATCGTGAACGGCAAAGAAGATTCGAAAAATTATTTATTCACGACAATGTAGCAATTTAATTAAAAAATAACAGTTGCAGCAGCACATAAAAATGCATCGCTGACGACGGTTTGCAATCATCTCATTCATTACTACAGCATCTGACCATATAAAGCTTCACTTCCTTGAAGTTCCTTCCATCATCATGTCATGCTAGTGTGAATCAGTACATGTTCTCTTAAATTCACCACCAGGGGTATGATTTTGGTTCATTTACACAAAAGTTTCAATACTTAGCCGACTCAGACCCAAGTCTTGGCATGTACCAAGGTCTCTAATGTGAATGCCACAATTATACCAATTTAGAACCATTGTTTACTTTTTTTGTATTTAAGCAATTTTATTTGGGCTGTTCAATAATAGCATACATTTCTAACATAAAAATGAAACTCGTTCGTCATATACATACATTTCATTATTTATTCTATGATGTAGGGAATCAGGGGAGACCACTTTTCGTAGTGTGCATTTTCCTTTTCATTTTGTTTAGCAATTTGACCTTCAATTTGGAAATGTTTCCGCAATAAATGCATTAGGTTTTGGTAAGTTGGCTTGGTACTTTTTACTTTGCTTTATCTAATGTTTGATATTACAATTGCATTAGTTTGATCGGCTGATTGGGACAATTTATGTCAAACCAGAATTAGCAGAGGCTGACAAACTATTATGAGGGAAATGTTGATTATCATATTGCAATTCCTTTTCAGTTTATTTTATTCACTCGTATATAAATTGCTGCATGTCAAGTTATCAAAGATAATTACACAAAATGTTACAAACAGATGCAGTCTCGCATGCTAGTAAATCAAAGTGTTGTCAATCCAAGCAACAAAATGTATTCTCTGCAAACAAGATTTCGTTACTAGCTTAGAGACGACGTCAAAAGAGTGATGTCAGATAAAAAGAAATTAATTTCTTTATTTTTTTTCGAACCCCCCACTGAAACTTAATTGATAAATATTGGTCATGGCGTCAGACTACATTCACCATTAAATACAAATTGATAATCGAACAGTAGTATTGCATAGCAGTTGGTTGTCGAGTGGGTGTAAAAAGACTTTACAAATGCACCTCATTTGAC